GACAGAGAGAGAATGGGCACATGGATCCATGGCATGTGTGTGGAGGTCACAGGATAGCTTTCTAGAGCTGTCTCTCTTCTTCTACCCTGTAGGTTTTGGGGGTCGAACTCAGGTTGTCAAGCTTAGGGACTCCCACCCTGTAACTTTTTTTCCTGGATCTCTGCTACATTGTTTCTAAATTGCTGTCCCTCAGGCCCTTCAGATCTACTTGTAAGGTACCTCTGTTTTTGTTTTTCTTCTTCTTCTCTTTCTGATCTCAAGCTGACTCCCTTTCAGCTAGTACATTAGTTTCCGAGGTCTGCACACCTTCAGACACCCACGGCTTAAAACACTGATGCCCAAAATGAAGGCTGAGGCAGGATGCCTCGTCCTGTGGTTGCAGGTTCTGCTGGCCTCCTGGTCTGGGGTCACATGAGTTTCTGTCTCTGTCTTCATTTGCTTTCTGTAAGTCCACACCCTTTTCCCCCTTCTCTTATAAGAGCCACTGCCAGTGGGTAATCCTGATGATCCAGAATGGTCTCTTTGTCTCAAGATCCTTAACTCTGCTTTGCTGAAGGCTGGGTATCAGTTGGTCTCTGTGTGGCTTGTCCTTCCTATCCCTCCACAGACCACAGCTACCCAGCCTTCCAGGGCCGACAGCTCTTCTCATTTTTTTTTCATATTCTTTTTTTTTAAATAATAAGTTTTATTTAAATTAGAAGTGATTTTAATTTACACGTCGATCCCAGTTCCCTCTCTCCCTGCCATCCTCCCATGCCCCCCCCCACCGGTCCTCCCTCCTGTCTCTAGGCTAAGGGAGTATCCCTCCATGGGGAATAGGCTCCTGAAGTCCTTTTGTGCACCAGGGGTACATCCTGGTTCCATTGCATCTCGCACCCCAGCCTCCTTTCTCCATTTCAGTCGTCCATGTACTGGGAGCTGTCCAGCTCATCTTCCATTGCTACTAAACTCTTACAGTGGCTGAATGTCACACTCCAATCTCTGCTCCTCTGCTCAAAGGGCCATGGGCGGAAATGCCCCTCCTTCCTTTTCTATCATTGTCTGAGGGCTGCAAATCGTTCTGCTGGCCTCATCCACCTGAGCTGTCCACTTTCCTTTCAGTGGAATGTACTGTCCACTGAACTGCTGACTATTCTTTCATTTCCAAAAGACACCGTCTCAAAGGTTGGCAGGGACCTCCTCCCAGCCAACTGCTTCATCACCTGCAATAAGGACATGGCTTCTCAACGCCCCCCTCAATCTCTTTATTTGTAAATGGGAATAATATTAGTACCCATGGAGATGTTCGAGAGAATTAATAGGTGGCACACATAAGGCATATGTAGGGATGCCTGGCAAAGCATATATTGTATGTCATGTGTTAGGTATTTTCTCCTTAATTTTCTTTTTATTTTGTTGTTTTAAGACTTTGTTTTTTTTTAAGACTTATTTTTACTTAGGCACCCACAGAGGCCAGAGGATGGTGTCAGATCCCCTGGAGTTGGTGTTTCTGGCCATTATGAGCCATCTATAGTGCTCTTCAAGAGCAGCAAGTGCTCTTAACCCCTGAGCTATCTCTCCACCCTCAAGCATCACAGTTTTTTTCTCTGTAGCCTTTGCAGCATTTAATCTAGGTGACTTTTTAGTCTGTAGTCTGTAGTTTTTAGTCTTTAGATTCTTCTGAGGTTAATTAATTTGGGGGTCATTTAGCCTTAGTCCTCCTGTGTGTTGTCTACATACATGGGCACATATCCATTCTAGATCATTTTTCTGGTAATTCACTAGTCTAGTTCCAGTTTGTGCCGTTACCTTCATGTCTGTGAGTTAGGTTTCCAATCCCTTTCTTAGCTGCAATCCCATCATTATAACTTCTGCCAGGTTGCTTACCCCTCACTCGGTCCCTTGGGAGGTATCTGATCACTTGATAGTAAAGCAGCTAGCGGCCGGTGTGTCTCATCAGATAGGAACCTGGACATCAGTGCTGGAGATCTAGCTCCCTGTCCAGTGACACTGTGATGCCCTTGCACATAGTGCAGACTCCTCCTCATCAATGCTCAACACTTCCCGTGAGCAGAGCTGGATGTGGGAAGGATCGTCAACACATGTGTTTTGCAAATGTCTTAATTTTTGTGTAGTGGAGGAGGAGACACATTCACAAAGCCCCTGTCATAAGCCCTGGATAGAACTCCTAGATGATTTGGTAAACAATTGTCTTTTGATGTTTTTTCTTCTTTTTCTTCCCTTTCCCCAAGGTGTTTTTTATGGTGTTTTTCTTCCTTTTGAAAGGATAACTGGCAAACAAGTTGGATTTATGTCTCATTATGTTGAGGGAAGTAGAAAATGAGCTAATTAAAGAACACACAGCATGGTTTTAATTAAGTAGAGGTGCTTTTTAGTATATTTCTGAGTTGTCTCAAGACATAGGGGCAAAGCCAAGAAAGGCAACCTTATTTATTTTCTGAGTTATAGTTTCTTACAAATTGGAATAAAAATTTTAGATAAGGATTTTTCTTTTCTTAAAGACTCACCAGGGAGAGATTGTATTTCCTATTATCGATAATTAGCTTGAATGTAGTAGTAGTCAGTGTAGCTGTGTGATGTTGGGGACTCTGTCCTGATGGTTTGTTTAGTGTGGCTGAGTCCCTGTCAACTGTTCTCTGTTTAAACACATCTTCATTCCCAATCTGGTTCCTGTCTTTAGGGAGCAAATGCACGGGGGCCACTCGCCTGAGGAATGGAATTGTCTTAGCTGTAAATGTTTTTAAAAAGCTAATAGCTTTCTTTCCATTGTTGAGCATATTCACCATGTTCTCCTCATGTTTGTTTCTCCAACCAAGCAGTGAGTATAACATGCATTTGTGTCATGATAATCTATTTTTCTTCTCCAAACAGTTTTGTGACCTGTAGCTGAAGGTAAATATATTTTAAACTTTATGTCTAAGACCCAGGATCATTTCCCTGTATCTTAGCCTCTCAGCATCCACTCGAAGGCAAAAATATAGTAAAATTGTGTGGTGTTTCTAACCATACATGATAGCAAATCTGAATAAGTTATGTTCAATTATAAGACCACTTTCTAGAAAGCGTGAAGACATACTCTTTATGTTTATTTTAGTGTGTGTGTACATGCCAGTGTGCATGTGTGTGTGTACATGCCAGTGTGCGTGTGTGTACATGCCAGTGTGCATGTGTGTGTACATGCAAGTGTGTGTGCGTATGTGTGTACATGCCAGTGTGCGTGTGTGTACATGCCAGTGTGCATGTGTGTGTGTGTACATGCCAGAGTGTGTGTTTGTGTGTGTGTGTACATGCCAGGGTGCATGTGGAGGCCAGAGGAAAACTTGCAGGAGTCAGTTTTCTTTTTTCAGTTTGTGGGTCCTGAGATTGAATTCAGGTTCAGGCTTGGTGCTGGGTGCATTTACCCTCTGAGCCACCTCATAGCCTTAGACGTACATTAAAAAGTATGACTGAAGTAAAGCTTATGTGAAACACAGATTTCTGTTTATCTCCTTTTTGTGGATTGAAAGGGAAAGAAAAAGTCGTGTAGTGTTGGGATTGGTCCCAGGGTTTCTAGCATGCTGTGCCAGTACTCTCCAACAGACGCATCCCAGCCTGGGCATTCATTTTGTGGGAGCAACATTACTCTACACTGACAGCTTTTTTTTTTCATGTGGACAGATCTGTTAACCAAGTCTTGCTGTGGGAATGAAATTAGTTTGTGATGAAACTAGTTAGCATGGAAGAGACTTTGGGGGGGCCATCTGGTACAAGCTACCTCTTTTTAAAATGACAGAGTTGAGGTCCTGTAGGCTGTTCCAAGTGCCCCCCCCCCCCAAGAGGGTCTCCCTGCCTGCTCAAGGGAGTGTAACACCTTAGTCAGGGCATTCTGAAGTCTGTCAGTGTACTGATTTCCCCAACAGATAGAAATTAGGGGGCCTGCTTTTGAAACACCACAAAGAATTAAAGCTACCAACCTTAAACTGTGCATTGATCATTGATGTCTCATACTTTGTGTTTGAAAGGAATTCTAGTTTTCTGAGTACTCATAGAAATTAACTCATAGAAATGATCCAAGTGGCTATCAATTCTAAGTTATTCTTCATTTCAAACACACCAAGGCTTTGTAGGGGGTCTGGAATGGTGACCCCCATCCTAGTGTTATGGTGATTTGTAGACACCGTCCTGGGGTAATGGTGATTTGTAGACCCCATCATGCTGTTATAGTGGTTTATAGTACATTTGCTGTCAGATAAGGGATTTGCCTTTGTGGAGTTTTTGGTTTTAGGGAATTAATACAGAGTTTTAAAAAAATGAGTTTTGAATTATAGGACTCTCATTTGAAATGACTGTTTATAGGAAATTAAGGAATTTTGCTACCATTTATGTATTTAGTCTTATTCTGTTAGCTAGATGGATGTTGCCACTTAAAGTTTTTCATTTTTACTTAAAAGTTGGCATTTATTGATTTGTGCATATGCATGTGTTTGTGTGTGAACTCAAGTGCTATAGTGAATAGATGGGCCAGAGAGCAACTCCTGGGAATTGATTTTCTTCTTCAACTATATGGGTACCCGGGATCAAACTCAGATCCCTGTGCTTGCTGGCAAGCATCTTTACCCCCCCTCCCCCGAGCCATTTTGCTTACCCCTATTTTAACTTTTAAAGTCCATTTGTTCCTAAGGTTTTTTGGTGGTGTTGTTTTGTTTTTCAAGATACAGTTTCCTCTGTGTAGCAGCCCTGGCTGTCCTGGAACTCATTCTGTAGACAAGGCTGGCCTCAAACCCATAGAGATTCACCTGCCTCTGCCTCCCTAGTGATGGTATTAAAGGTGTGCATCACCATGCCCGATGCTCCTAAGTTTTTAAAGCAGGAAATAGTCATCTTGTATTTTGTTTTTCCCTTTGACATGGTAGGTAATCGGGTGTCCACTTTTTAGCCACTTTGCTAAGTCTGAATATGATTTCTCTAAGAAAATCTTACCATTTCATGACCTCCTTTCTCTTGTTTGTTTTCTTTTATAGCCAACACATACTTCTTTATGGTACAAGCTCGAGGTATCATGCTGAGAGAGAATGTGAAAACAATTGGACATATGATCAGGCTATATACGAATAAAAACACCACACTCAATGGGACAGGTAAGGCTGTGTCCTCCTTTGCTTACCCTGGGAGTTGCAGATCAGTCAACAAACCTTTTACATTCTAGTTCCTTTACCTGCTCATAACTCACTGATAAAGAGGGAGCTGCCTTCTACTAAGTGCCCCTCTAGATGATTAGCATCCCCTCCTGCTAAGTGGGCATCTTCTAAGTGTACTGCTAGGTTGGCATCCCCTACACAGTGCAGTCTAGGGCCTTGTAAAGAAAGGAAAGGATACATTTTATGATCCCGAAAGTCAGCACCTGCTCTTTGCTGTGTGCAGTGTTAACTGAAAGTGGGTTGTCCTTTCGTCTTGCACAAGGTTAATATCCATTTGACTCCACTAGGGATTTTCTCATGGGAAGTAGTTGGCGTTAGTGGCTTTATTTCCCTATTGTGGAAATAAAGTGTCTCCCAGCATTATATGGGATGTAACATTGACAAGATCTCGAGGCACTCTTTAGTCTGTTTTAATAGTTAAAGTGCCACAGTAAACACAGTTCTCATCACCTCTGCCCCTCCCCCCCACCAGAAAGCCTCTATCTCCCTCCATAGTGGGGTTTTAGTTAATGTCAGGTGGGTAGGAGTTTTACGCCTAAGATTTCCAGATGATATATGTACTTGCAGAGAATCCATCTTATTCATTTGCCTGGGTTATTTGTGACTCCCTAAATCTAAGCACTCTTAACTTTCCTTTAAGCTTCCAACCTTGATCTCATTTAGAAAGGCTGTCTCAAGGTACCTGACCTTTCAAGGCTGTCTCAGTCACTGGTCTCCTGCATCGGCTGGTCATATTAGAAGTTTAAGCATTCGAGGAGCTTTTGTGGGCCGTGCTAGTTGAAGACGTTGATTGTGAGGATTTTCATTGAAAAGTCCATTGAGCTGGAGTGTAAAGTGTGTTTAGGTTACTGTGTTCGTCTGTGTGAATACTTGGCATTTCATGTATCTTTTCTCCCTCTCTGGGATATGAATAAGTTTTATGTGTGGGTGTTGAGTTTGGCTGGACGCAATGATGACTCGAGCCAGCAGATGTTCCTACAAAAAAAAAAAAAGGAAATTCTTCCTTTCCTCTCCCAGCCATGGCTTTAATGAAGATGAAATGACGGGGGTTGGGGTGGGGGTGAGTTGTGTACTTAGAACCTTCCATAGGATCCCCTTACTGATGGGAAGTGTGTTCTAGAAGACACACGAGCCATTCTTTTCCGTGTGAGTGTCACAAGCTGGTGACACAAACCACAGTATGTTTCCCTTTTTGTCACACCTGTCCTGCCACCTTATTCTCAGTTAACTTACAGCCCAAACTGGCCGCTGGGACTCCAGTCATCCACTTTTCCCCTTGCTTGTGGTCCAGGGGGTGCGAATGGAGGGTGGGAGAGGTGGGGGGGGGCAAAAGATGTCCTCCTTTAAGGAGACTTACACAAAAGTTCCACCGTGTCCCTTCACCGGCTCACTGGCCAGACCTAATTACCTGGCTGCAGGGTCATGGGAACGAAGATGTGAAATTGTTCTGAGCGAAGCTGGGATTGTCACCCAAGGACACCGGAAATAGAGTCTGTGTTGGAAGCGTCAAGACTCTGCCAGGCTCACTTAGGCAGCGTTTACTGAGCAATTAGTATAGGTCATGCATGAGTAGAAATGGAAGATGCTGTGTTAGGAAAAAACCCTTTAAACGCGGAGCCTTCCAGGCTTCTGGGAGAGATGGAGACATGATTATTAAAATGTATCTAATTATTTCTGCAAAGACTTAGATAAATTTGTCAAAGTTAAAAAAAAAAAGAAAAGAAAAGAAAAAAGAGATGTACAAAGCGGCAAGTGAGTGCCGCAGGAGAACGGATTAGTACATTTATAACGTACCAACAGAAGGCCGGTTGGTTGTGGTGTTTGTATGCCTGTTTGGTTTCAGAAGGGCTTCGGTGCTGTGTCTGACTGTCAGCACCATCCAGTGCAAACGGACTTAAGATACTTTTGTGTAGAAATCCTAAGTTCTCAGACTCAAACCATGCCTTTCTGAGTAGCCTGTGCAATTGATAAAACGAGCCGCAGTTAATGAAAGTGTACTTAAGAGGCAGCCAGGGCTGTGCGGGGTAGAGATGATGGATTCGTGAGGGTGAACCTGGTGCACTTCCTTACTTGATGGGTGCTTCATCTACCCATCTACCCATCAGTGACAAGCACGTCAGAGCTCTAATGGAGTTCCCGTGCACCCTCCAGGACTCCCTCTTGCAGAAGAGAAGCGGTGGAGAGGTATCCTTCGGTCCCCTTCTTTTCTCTGCCCTTCCCATTTGATGGTGGTGTTGGGACCTGCCTGGCACTGGGTGTGGTTCTGGGAGGGGGAGGCAGACAGGTTGCCTGGAGCTCGTTTTGTTTCCATCCATTCATTAGATGAAATAATGTCTGCCTTTCTCAGAAGCTGTGGTGAATCTCCAGTGTGTCTATCCCACGTAGCCGCTGGAAACTGTTCAAGGTTTTCAAAGCAGCATTTGCGCTGTGGATGGTGCTCACTCACTGCCTTCACGGGAAGATGCTTGTGTGGGTTTCCAGCATTGTTCCCTAACCTTAAATCACACAGGCTGTTTTATCAGCCACCGTCTGTTCCTCCGATGCCGTAGGTGACTTACTTATGCGGGAGGTTAAAGACAATTCAGTTTGAACTAGCTCAGGCTAGTGGTCTCCACTGTGGTCAGGTTTGGCTCAAGATGAAGGACTTGGGCAGCTCAGAAGCATTTCTGCCATTCTCTTAGTGACTTCTGCCCTGCCTGGTCATTTACAGGTGTTATGGGCAAGGGCAGCATACATTTTGCTCTGAAACTGGAAACTCAAGTGATTAGCCAGTATTGCATGTCTTTCCGGCCCTTAAAAATATTGTTTGGTTTTTACTAAAACTGGCAGAAGTAATGATTGTGTTCTTTAATGAAATATGTAATCAGTCTAGCCATAGATTGCCCACCCTGGACTTCTTTTTCTGTCCTCAGACTCCCTCTAGGGAATGATGGTTAAATTTGTTTTATAGAAATAACCAGAGAGTTTGAAATTTAAGGGAGTTGGACTTGGGTGCGGAGAATCACAGAATGTGGAGGAGGAGAGGCCCGGGTATTAGTGACAAAAATTCATCAAGTATGCAGACCAAGAAAATGCTTCAATTTAAGTTAGTACATAACATCTCGGAGTTACTTGGTGGGGCTGGAGAGGTTGCTCAGTGGTTATCAAAAGCACTTTGCTGCTCTTGTGGAGGACCCCAGGTCAGTTCTCAGCACCCCCATAGGGCAGCTCACAACCTCCTGTAACTCCAGCTCCAGGGGATCCAGTACCTTCTTCTGGCCTCTGTAGACAGCCATATGCACTGTATATACTCTCCCACCTTCTCTCTCTCTGTGTGTCTGTGTCTGTCTCGTCTGTCTGTCTGTGTCTCTCTCTCTCTGTGTCTGTCTCTGTCTGTCTGTCTGTCTCTCTCTCTCTCTCTCTCTGTGTGTGTGTCTGTCTGTCTGTCTCTCTCACACACAAATAAAACAGTTTTGTAGAAGAAGAAGTGACTGGAGCATTAGATATAGTGGCCATGCTTGTCACCCCAGCACTTAGGAAGCTAAGGCAGGATGGTTGATGCAATTCCGAGGCCAGCCTAGGCTGCATAGTGTTTTGAGTTCTAGGCCATCCTGAGCAGAAGACTTTACCACAAGCTACCAAGTAACCTAAAAACAGACAGGAATATTACTTGAGGGCTGTATGAGAAGCCTAGTAGTTTTCCACCTTTGTATTATTTTTAAAAATGAGTTTGGGGAGCACACAAAGGCGGTGGGCCCAGGACAGCCTGGTTTTCCATTCCCAGCTACTGTGCACGGGCAGCAGGTGTTTAAGAAAAATGGACGAGATCAAGAACAGCCATTGATAGAGTGCTGGACTGTCTGTTCCTCCCAGTGTGTGCAGAAGAAAGCTGTGTGTGTGCTCTGGGGTGGGGGTGAGGGGTGTCGTGTTTGTCTTAACCATTGTTCTCATATTAAAAAGCAGCCTATATAAAATGCTTTCTTCAGTTGTCAGTTTGAGTAGTCATTTCTTATTTTAAGGTAGAGGAGGGCTATGGTAAAAACAGTTTCCGTCATTCCTCTCCTCCGGTTCCCATCCTCAGAGAGAACCACCTAGAACTTTACAGTTTATTCTGGATTTATGTCTAAGTCTCTTCCCCACTCCCTCCCTGGTTGAGCCTAGGGCTTCAGCAAACTGGGTGTGGGCTTTGCCGCTGAGCCACACCCCAAGCTTCTCTACCGCTGCTTGCCGCTGTCCATAGCTGTCCTGCAATGGAAGGAAGGAATGCTCACTCTGCTTACACAGTTTCCTCCCTGGACGGAACACTGGGACTTAGTCAAATCCGCAGGGTTCAGAGTATAAATAGTGGTTTCTGTGTTCCTAGGGTCAACTAATGCCACTAATGGCATTGCTTGCCCATGTCCCCACCTCCCCCCCCCCCCCCCCCGCAGCTTTTCTGCCGAGTATCATTGGGTTTTCCCCGGGCTGCTTAGACACACAGTGAGTCATGAGTTCCAGCCTCCCCTGTATCAGTTTCTGTCCTCTGGTGTCAGTTTTGAGAGTATGACTGGCATTCTGATGACAGTTTTTTTTTTTTTTTTGGTCTTTCTTCCCCTTTCTGGAGCCTTTGGAACCCCCCCTCTCCTCCTCTTCACCTTCCTCTTTTTAAATCTATTTTTGTGCTGTCAGATTTTACAAAGACCCTCCACTTTGTCACTTTGCCTGTCTTCTCTTACGGCACTTGGTCCTTCGGTTCTGTGACGTCCCCTTTGCGCTGATTTCTGCCCCCCCCCATTTCTAGCTCTCTTTCTTTCTACTTTATAGGAGAGTGTTTCGATCTGTTACAAATCTTTGATAGGATTTTAATCTTTTTTCTAAACCTATCTGTCATTTTTAGGAATATGCCTTTTGTTTTCTTTCCTTTTTTTTTTTAATTGTTGTTATCATTATTATTTGGTTTTTCTTGAGGTGGTGTCTCTCTATATAGTTCTGGCTGTCCTTGAATTCACTATGTAAACCAGGCTGGCCTCAAACTCACAGAGATCCACCTGCCACTGCCCCCTGAGTGTTGAGATTAAAGGGTGTACACCAGTCAGCCCAGCTTGTTTGTTTTTCTTAGCCATGTATCTAAAATAAGAATCCCTTTCCTGTCAAATGAAAAAAAAAGTTGTATTTTAATAAGCAGGAAATCTATTTCTTGATTAGCTAAGAAACTCTAAGGTATAAATCCAAGAGTTTGACAAAAATCTGCTGAAATTCATAGCAGTAGTGCTAGTCAAGTATTTTTTGTGGAGATGGAGAAACTTTTGTTTTTACTTTTTAAGAAAATTCTTTTAACCTTTATTGATTCTTTGTGGATTTCATACTTTGCATTCTGGTTCCACCCATCTCCCAATCCTTTTGAATCCTCCCTCTACCCTTGCAAGTTCTCCCACAAAACAAAAGAAAACTTTAAAGATAAACCAAAGACCAAACATACCAGACAAAACAAGACAAAAAAAAAAAAAAAAAAAAAAAAGGAGACAAATCTCATTGTGGAAGCTGTAGTGTGGCCCATTGAGTCACAGTTTCCCCGTTTCCCTTTAATCCGTTCATCTTTACTTGCAAGTATTCATTGCCAGGAGCCAACTGATCTGAGGCCTCTGGTCTCTGCTACATCACTGGTAATGGGCTGTCATTTGGGGCTCCTCTTGGATATCCTGTTGTTGTCCTGTGTCATGGAGATCCTGCTGCTTTGGATGTGTATGTGTGTCCCCTTCACATGCTCCAACAGTTCACAGATGTGGTGGATGTTGGGGTGGGCCAACTCATAGCCCTGGTTCTGGGCCTGAGTGTAGTTGGTCAGCTGCCTAGCCTTCCCTCATCATCACTACCCCAGCAAGCTCTCCAGTACTGCGCCAGCCAGCTCACCCAGTGCAGACGCAGCAAGGAGCAGGGCCAGTTCTGCTCTTGGGCTCTAGGGTCTGGCTCATCTGCTCTCACATCACCAGGACCAGCTCTAAAGTTTTACCCATGTGAGGTGCAGAGTGCTCTCTCCCAATTGCTGTAGGGGACGGACATAAGGGGTATTGTGTGGGGGGAGGTGAGCTTTCCTATACTCACTCCCCTCCGAGCTGGTCCATCTGTACCTCTACAATAGGGTCAGCTCTAGTTTGCTGCCCAGATGGGGTACAGGGTCCCCTCTCCTGTGTACTGCTGCTGGTGAGGGGCAGGGCTCACTCTCTAACCTGCCATGGGTAGCAAAGGACAGGTGGGGGAGGGCACCTTTCTCTTAGGGCTGGCTTGCCTGCATCCGAGAATTTCTTTTTTAAGATTTATTTTTATTTTTGAATTATGAGTGTGTGTGTGTGTATCTATGTGGGCAGATGTGCATGTAAGGGCAGGTGCCTGTGGAAGGCAGGAGAAAATATTGTTGGATCCTGTGGAGTTGGAGTTACAGATGGTTGTTGAGTTGCCTAGTGTGGGTGCTGGGAACCAAACTGGGGTCCTTGGCAAGCGCAGTATGCACTCTTAAATACTAAGCCATCCCTTCAGCCACATGCAGACTCTTAATTCATGTTTGGAGCGAGCACCAATCACTGCCATTGGCAGAGCAGAATTCCTTATGAAAGAAGAAATCATTTTAAAAATATGATCTGCATTTGATATATCCAGATACATCTTTATAAAGCTCCTTGAAGGGATGAGCCTCATCGACCCCGTAGTCCTGGTTTACGTGGCCTATGGTATAAGTTTCAGCTGCATTAGGTGGACGTATAGCGTTTGGCCCCAAGAGGAGTTTCCATGATCTTGGTCTGCCCTTGCTTGGACACATGCAATGATGGCTGCTCCGTCTCTCTTTTGTCCCCTGGCTTGGAGCAGTTCCTTGCCAGCTGCTTTCCAGGGCTCCTCCTCAGAGCAGCTTGGGGAACCTCTGCCAGGGGCTTCCCATATCCTGGTGCTACCATATGCCTTAGCATTGTGCCATCACTGTCTATCCTGTTAGGCATCCTTGGCAGTTCAGCTAATGCCTCACGGATGCACTCCTCAGTTCATAGTGTGGGTTTCCACACAGGCCTCTGGGACTGAACCTTCTTCTTTGGGCTTCTGTCTCTTCCTTGGCTTTGGACCCTTTGTCCATCTCATCTACCTGTTAGGAGACTCGGCAGCATCTTCTTCCACAGTGCCTGGAAGTAGGCTGAAGCACCGCTCAGAAACGTCTCCCTGGCTCCCAGGATACAGCCCCACCAACTCTGCTTGATGATGACAATTTCTGTTCACAGGGGTGGTGCTTAGCTTGCAGTGGCTCTTCTCAGACCCCATAACCATCCTCACGCAGCTTTCCCGTGGGCCAGAGGGTTTAGTTTTTACAGTCTTTGTCCTGGAGCTGATTGCCAGTGGCTGTAGGAGCATGTTTACATTTGCTGTGTCTGTGGTTGAATGTTGCAGACACAGCAGTTCTCCAGCTGTTTCTTTCTCTTATCTCTGTTCGCCACTCTAGGCCAGCTTCCTTCACACAGCAGGAAATGGGCACATCCTGCTCCTCAGATTTGCACTTTGCATGTATGCCCTACAGAGTACCTAAATTGTGATCCTGGGTTCCATGTTCAAAACCCTATGCCTGTGACTGTCACATGTTGGGTCAGGGACCCCATCACTCATCTCTAAAGCTGTTGAATAGTTTCATAAGAGTATTTTCTCTAGGCTCTTGAGCACGCGTGTGTGCGTGTGTGTAAGAGACAGAGTGTGTTTGCCTAACCTGCATGGTTGTATGCACTTACGCACATGCACATGTGGAGGCCACAGGTTGACATCACTTGGGTGACTTCCTCCATCACTTGGGTGTCTTCCTCTGTCGCTCTCCACATTCTATTTTTGAGCCGGGGTCTCTCACTGAAGCTGGAGCTGGTTGTTTCAGCTGGACCCACTGATAGTCAAACCCCTGGGATCTAGCAGTTCCCATCTGCCTACCCCAGTGCTGTGTTAGGTGGTGTACACGGTGGCTGTGGATCTGAACTCAGGTTCTCATGCTTGCATAGCAGACACTATCTACTGGGCCAGGTCTCCAGCCTCCTTTAGTCCCACTCTCAAATGGAGCACATGCTGGAGTGGGATTTGAAGGCAAGCATTTGGTGGCATTTCAGGCCATTGCTCTGTGTGTGGTGGAACTTAGTGACCCTAAAGAACACGTAACCGTTCCAGGATCTTCAGGAACAGCAGCCTGCAGGGTAAGAATGTGACTGACCTGCGTGCAGGGCAGTGGTGGCTGGCACACGCCTTTAATCCCAGTACACAGGAGGCAGAGGCAGGAGGATCTCTGTGAGTTGGAGTTCAACCTGGTCTACAAAACCAGTTCCAGGACAGCCAGGACTGTTAGACAGAGAAACGCTGTCTCAACAAAACAAAACAAGACACCCAAAACCAATAAATAAATAAAATTAAAAAAAAAAAAACAGAAATAAAAAGATGTGACTGACCGTCCTGGAAGTATGTTGAAGCTAAGTCTCTTGGGTAAGGTCAAGGAACCATCACTGCCTCCTCTGCTGTGTGCTCAGAAGTGCACAGATGGCCAGGCTGCTGTAAGGTTGAAGGACTCCTTGTTCCTTTAGGTTAGGCCCAGCCATGGAGGTGAGGGAGCAGGTGTCCTCCGGCTGCAAAAGGCCCTGTTGTGTTTGTGTGTAAGGGTGAGGGCCTGCGGCTCTCTGCACCTCTCCTGGGAAATCCTGTAGAGTGTCCGGCTGAGCTTCCGTGTACTTGACTCGGATTCTTTCTGGGTTGTTGCTTGTGTATTGCACACTGCAGCCCTCTGTGCTGGTGAAAATACTTCATGCTAGAGGCAAAGAAAAAGACAACACTGGGTTGTAAATTTCTTCTTTCTCTCCAAGATTATCCTGAAGGCAACAATTCAAGTGACTATCTTCTGCAAACAACAACGTATCTTCCACAAAACTTCACCTATTCACCGCACCTCCCCTGCCCAGAGAAGCTGCCGTACATGCGTAAGTGTGAACTCTGTCATTATAAAAGATTAGAAACTACGTGGTTTGAGCATGTCATCAGATGGATCATTATTGTGAATGCTGACATTTTTAATATACTAGATGCTTTTCCATTTTGTAATTTTAATTTGGGGGGGCAGTGAGCACTGTTTTTGATGGTGGATGGTTGAAAGCTAAAGAAAAATATAGAAAAAAAAAAAAAAAGATAATGAGAAATACCCGTTATTTCTCCCATCTAGATTTGAAAAAAAATACTTGACTTAGCTTTTTTTGTTGTTGTTTGTCTGTTTTGATTTTTCAAGACAAGGTTTCTCTGTGTATCCCTGGCTGTCCTGGAACTTGCTTTGTATACCAGACTAGCATCAAACTCACAGAGATTTGCCTGTGTCTGCCTCTGGAGTGCTGGGATTAAAAGTCTATGCCATCGTGCCAGGTTATAACTTTTTAAATTCTCTTAAAGCAGATTAGGACACTATAGATTAAGCCATTTCTCGTCCTCTTCCCCATTTAAGCTCCCCTTATCTCCCTCAGAAGTGACCTGGTGTCTGTTTGATATATGCATGTATAGAGTACTGTAAACTTAGTTTTACATAGATAAATGGAGAGATAAAAGACACAGTTTCAAAAGCCTTAAGGATTTTCTTACCCAAGTAGCCATCTCCAATTGACAGTCACTCACTAAGGAAAAATGAGTTTTCTCCAATGGAGCCGGACTGGGCCAAACCATTCCCTAAGGGCAGGGCCCATGCTCAGCAATATGTGGACAATACAAAAATGAACTCAGTGGTATTTTTGTCTTATAGTGATTTATCTGGGCTTTGACAAAATTTATTTATTCATTTACTTGTTTGCCTTACAGGTTATTTTTTTACTTAAATGTTATGGTTTTCAATTCTGTGTTTTTATGGAATTCTGTGTGTGCAGGTGTGTGTGTCTCTGTGTCTCTATGTGTTTCTTGTGCTTTGGGCTCTTTGTTTGTTTGTTTATTTATTTATCTCCTGTTTGTTTCTTTATTTTGTCCTGTTCTGGTTGTTGGTTTTTAAGTTAGATTCTTATTTCTTTAATGAGAAGTTTAATGAGAGAAAGAGACAGAGACAGAGAGAGAGAGAGAGAGAAGAGGAAGGAAGGAAGGAAGGAAGGAAGAAAGGAAGGAAGGAAGGAAGAGAGATATGGATTTAGGTGGGTAGGGAGAACCCTGGAGGAGTTGTGGAGAAACCATAACCAGAATATATTGTGTGAAGAAAAATCTATTATCAATTTTTTAAAAAGCCTAAAGGGAGAAAACAACAACAACAAAAAAAATTAGGTGGTTCTCTAAAGCACAAGTTCCTCTGTGGCCTGCATTTTAGCTTGTTTTTGGAGAATTACCCATGGTCTGTCATGTGGATTTGAGTTGTTTCTGAATTATTGTGGAGAATGGCTTTGATAAACATGCCATGTTTTATTTTCCAGTTCTCACCTGATGGGCAGTTAGGTGGTTTCTACTTTTTATTTTTCTTTTAGTCACACAACTGGAAAAAAAGTCCTCCGTCTTCCTCATCTTAAGAGCAGAATAGCCCAGCCCTCTCTGCTCCCACGTGTGGGCACACTTGGGCACTGATAACTCAGGTTGGCGGCTGTTCCAGCTGCCCTTGGGCTTTCCAGTTTCTCCCAAGTTATTGCAACAAGCAGGGCTGATTTATATCACATTCATGTCTGTAGGCTTTGTGGTCTTTCTAAGAAATGACTTGTTTTAACTATGTTTTGTGGGAGGGCTTATGTTCCCATCCTTGCTTGTGTTCATGGAGTCTGGAAGAGGGTATCCGATCCCTTGGAGCTGGAGTTACAAGGGTACTCGGGAGTTTCCCGGATATGGGTGTCAGGAACTCCCAGTCAGAGTGGAAAGCTTTCTTAACTTCTGAGCTGCCTCTCCTCTCTGTGATTTTTTTTTAAACTGACCAAACAGTAGAAACAGTGTCCCATTATTCAAGATTTTACTAACCTCCTTACTGGTGGTTTAGCTCTCTCTCGCTCGGCCCCTCATGGCTCTGCCCCTCATGGCTGTTGGGTCCTGTTCAACACCTGTGTCAGGTATTGATATTTCTGAAGTCACAGTTGCCAGCTGTGTGTGCTCTAAGTGTCTCTTCACAGTCCCCGGCTTGCTTCCTAATCCTTCTCATCAAGTCTTTTACGAAGTTCAAATTACAGGTTTTGCAATGGATCAATCTCTAAGATTTTGCTTTTTTTTTTTTTTTTTTTTTTTTTTTTTAAGGAAGCTTTTCTTACCTCGACACCATACAAATACTGTTATTTCCTATTATTTTTTTTTATTTTGTTCTTATGCATTTGTATCCAGTGTGTGCCAGTGACCCAGGTGCTATAGTTCAAATATATATTTTCAAGCATCAATTTTTCCAACTTGTGGCGATAAAATTCTGTCCTCCGGCTATCAGAAGCTCTGTTAATTGCCATTGGGCTCCACTACGCTCTTAGGAATAGTTTCCATACGCTACTTTGTATCTTGATTTTTATACACTTGAAGATTTAAGTAAACTTCTTTTTGATTGTTGATCCCCATGCTTTATTGCCCTTAGTATCTAAGTATGCTTCTTATATTTTTACGGAGGAAATTGCTCCCTGCCTATCATGGTTGTAGGCTGGCTTTTTAGTTAATTGTTGGTAGCTGTTATAATGGTAATACAAAGGAGGGCTGGCTTTGGCACATGGCTTAAGGAATGGTTTTTCTCCATGGAGGGTGCATCAGAATCACCCAGAAGGTTCTGTAGAGCACAGTGTCCCTATGCCCTACGAGTTTCCCTTTCAGTGGGGCTAAAGAGGCATTGGGAATTTTCATCTTAAGTTCCAGGGTGCTTCTGGGGCTGATGATGCTTGGGATATATGTCAAGAACCTAGAGTTCTAGCCTTTTCTCTGGGCAATACAGAATTGCCTGGGGAGCCTCTTTCCTGTTTGGGAACAGCGCATAAATAAGGTTCTTGGTTTTATTGATCTAAACTGTGCCCTGGAATTAGCAAAACAAACAAATGAGCGAGTGATTCTGCTCATGCTAGCTCTGTGTGCCCCACAGTGAAGGATGATGGGCAGTGACTCCTGTGGCCCCCTCATCTGTCGTTGGTTATGACAGCCTTGTTTTCCCAAAATGAGTGTTTTTGTCTGCGCAATACTGAAGCCACTGGGAAATGTCCCGTTGGAGTATTGATTACAGTAATTTCCTCTTCATAATTTGCATATTCAGGGAATTATAGTTGTAGGAAATCTTTGTCCTTGGTTTAGTGACCATTTTCTTCATTATTGGTTTATGGACACTAATTAAACAGTTTGAAAGTGTCTGCCTGCCGGGCCCTCATGCCAGCATCCTTCTCCTACAGTGCTAGAACTCCTGTGGAATGGCTTCTTGGCCTGGTGCTTGAGGGAGTTCAGCTTGGCTTCTGTGGGTTCCGGGGCTGCCTCTCCCCTGGACTGACAGCTAACCATTCACAGAGGGCTGGCTGCTCCATGGTGTCTAATTTAAGACTGAGCACCAATCTCATGTCCAGCGAGCCAGGGCAAGTGGGTTATTTGACAGAAAATGTCACCATGTACAGGTGATATTTCAGAAGAGGACTATGAATATAATCAACATAATAAGGTTTCCTGCAAAGAGGGTCCTGTGTGAATGGGGCAGGGGCGGGACAGAGAGAAACAGAGAGGGAGACTGAGACAGACAGACAGACAGACACACACACACACACACACACACACACACACACACATTTGCTGGTCACATGACTGCACAGGACATCTGTAACACACAGATTGTCAGTGCCACCTTAAGTGTGAATGAAGATGAATCACAGTATAGAGTGTGAAGCTCGACCGATATTAATCGGAGTTCTTCCTTCTTTCTCCCGTTTGTTTTGATGCAGCCAGACTTTGTAATAATCAAGGGGATGAGACAGGTGTGTTATCCTGAAGCTTGCCTAGCTGTGCAGCCTTAGAACAATTCCCTGCGACCACAAAGAGCAGCATTATGTGACGTCTGAGTGTAAAATCTCGTAGCATACAAAATAATTGAATATAATGCCCTTTCCAAGATGTAGTTGGAGTCAAACATTCAAGTATGGCTGCTATTTAATCTACGTGTAACTGCCAGCTATGGTGTGAACTAATATTGGTGTGCGGTTATGGGAGAATAAGTTCTGGTGTCTCCCCTAATGTAGCTGTGCCATGGCCAGCCCCGGGATTTCCATGCTGTGGAGTTTCAGCAGCGTTTGGTATTCAAGAGCGGCCAACCACTCTATATAAAATCTACCTTAATTTGTGCTGTTTGTATGAAGAGGGTGAGTGATAATTTCATTGCTATCTAATATTTACAGGCTCTCCAGAGGGCAAATCAATTCTCAGCTTTTAAAAATCTATGTAGGACTCTTTGTGATAACCAAGTGATATAGAAATCTGTCCTCCCGGAGCATAAACACAAGTGCTTAGCATGGGTGTTTTGATTTTTGATTTTTCTGTGTGGAGTAGAGATGGAAAATGACAGGTGTGCACTCTGCATAACAATGAAGATGGTCTTACCTTCCGCCTGATTGTCACTCAAATAGAATACCCCGGCAGTGACTTTCCCTTATCCTGTCCTTGTCCTGATAGCCTCCACGGTTGCAAACCTTATGAATGCAGGAGTTTGCGAAGATGAATTTTAATGAGGGGATTGAAATTCAGCAAAGGGGAAAAGCAAGTAAACTCAAGGAGAGCTCACACAATGCTTAGCGCAACAAACTGTCTATCATGCGGATGTCTGCTGCAAAGCAGCCATTCAGAGTGAGTGAGAGGAGTCTGTGTCTGGCTGCAGGCCTGAGTGTGCAGGGGTGGAGGCTCTCAGAGAGCAGAGCTAGTGAGATCCAGCAGAACTGGCCAAGGGCAGGCAGCACCCAGAGACATGCCCGTGTTCTGTCCTCAAGGTGAGGCATGAGGCAGAAAGGACAGTCACTGAGGGGGTTTGGATCTTCGGGCCAGCCCAGCA